TTTTAATTATTGTACAAACAAGATGTTAGTAGTCTTTGAGACTTCATTTTAAAATTATACATTACTTCTGTTGACCACTTTTTTAATACAGGCCTAGTCGCATAAAATATAATTAGTAGACACTGAAAAATTATTTTTAAGTATCATTTACTTATGTTACACATTTTTAAGTGTCAAAAAGATATTTCATAATACGTAATTGTATACAACTATGTAAGCTGAACATGAAAGACAGTTCTCAATAAAACAATGGCTCTTACTTCCAAAACCATTGCAATCACAAGCTCGCTGTTTTATTTTTTATTTCATTTCCTAAATGTATTATACTTAAGTGTGTTTTATAAAAAATACATTGCAGTATAGTGGATTAAATTTTAACATAAACAAAAGCTTTTAAGTACTAACATTTTTAACTCAAAGAAAAACTTTGAAGAATAATCCTTTCAGACCTTAAAGGAAATTTTATTTTATTTCACCCTTTCCTCGTATCTTAAAAATCTGCACTTTTTCCAAGAAAACAAATTTGTTATATTTGGCTATTTATACCTGTCAAAACGACTTTCAATGCTTAGGTACGTCACGTTTAGAGTATCAAATATGCTTGCTAATGAAAGTTCACATTTTACTACGAAATTATTTTCCTTACAGTATAAAGTTAAAATTGTTGCGAAAAAAATTGCGCTTTGTTATTTCTGGACGTTTTCAATTTTATTTTACTCTGTCTTTAGAACTTTTAAGTTATTTTAAACTTTTATAGTTATTTGCTTCTAATNCGATATAGTTATTTGCTTCTAACAAAGGATATCTAATTAAAAAACGGGTATAATTGAACTGCGTAAATGCATATAATTACATTGCAAAATTACTCACGAGTATAACGTCATCAGCGCAAAGAAACCGTATTTATAAGGTTATGATATTTCACGATACTAATAATTAAAGATTTTACAGTAAAGAATATTTTATTGTAATGAACTTATAAAATATTTGGCAGGCTAGTTATCAATAACAAATAACTATTCTAATTAAAAAAAAATACTCTTACTAAGCAACACACACTTTTTATAGCTGATAATTATAATGTAGGTACAAAAATACAAGATCGTTAAATAAGTGTTTTTATTTTATTTTAATTTGATAGTCAAACACTCGTTTACAGCAGCTGTTCTTGTATACGTTCGCAGTGCATGTTATAAGATCCATTTACATTTACTTATTTTTCGTCTGATCTCTCAAAATTCCTAGTGTGTGAATACTTTTTTCTCTATTTAATTGTAGAAATCTCTAATCAATTCTCGACTCTACCAATCATCATGACAATCTCCTCCAAAGTAACCGTCTCAGTCAAATTTTGTTTATTATTTATACTATTGATATAAGCGATGCACTCTCATCTAATAATCACTCCAGTTGGTAGCTGATGATTTACTAATTTTTTTTTCATAAAAATTGTTTTGTTACCAAGCCTCTCATTGTCTATGGTTACTAGTGTTATCGCTGGAAAAGATCTTTAAGATAAATAAAAATTTAATAAATAGATTGAACACTAAATTAAAGTGCAAATATTAACATTAAATATAATAAATGAAACAAATGTATAGTAACAGCAATACTATTCCAAATAAACATGTAGTAGTCAGCTCTGAAAAACAAAGTAACACCCCAATTTGCCTACGAATCAAAAATTTGCCTTTTCAAAATTCATCACCAGTTGAGTAAATGGTGGAACAACCTCTCGCGGACCAGGTGACATTCATTCAGCCTAAAAAGAAAACAGTCACCAACACGGGGTAAAAAAACCGAGGAAAAAGTTGCTCAGACGCCAAGTCATCAGATCGACCAAACAAAAAACACAAAAATATCGCTGTTTATTTTATTGGTATAAACTCTGCGCTTAACGGTGTCACCACCGACCCACTTCCATCGACGACCAAACATAAATCATTGCAAATAGTAGTCTCTATCATAATTACTGCCCTAAAAAAGTGAAATACAACTAGGAATTTTAATTTTTGGTGAAATTTTATGGTAGGGAGAAGAAATAGAATACTAGGGACTTACCCATATTGCGTTATTGCAATAATAATAATAATAGAAAATTTCATAACAATTTTGTTTGACCATTTGTTTTTTAGCTTTGATACAAAGCTGAGAAGGTATAAATTTTACTATGATGTGTTTTTTATTTATTTTTTTCGAGTCTTTTACCACTTATTCTAAATATTGAACTTTTAACATTTTTTATAATTTAACTTGCAAGTTTAAAATTGATGTCATTAAATAGGAAATTTAAATAAAGATTTAAAAAATGATTTTTTTTAGATTAATATATGGTTAGGAACTTATATAATTACTATTAACAGTAAAATCACGAAAAAAGTCCGAAATTTTGTTAAAATCACTTATAATATTTGTTGTATTATATCGTAACAAATAACTTCAAAAGAAATATTAATAATTTATATGTAACTCCTGGTTTTAATAGATGATACAATTGAAATATTCAGAACTATATTCCTTATAGTTATATCCTACAGTTTTTAACTAATTAGTAGTAATATCAAAAGTTAGTGGTGAAAAGTATAATTGCAGGTTTGAAATTAGCACGAAAAATTAAATAATAAAAGTATATTTTTAAATCTGAAGAAAATGCATTGCAAAACCTTTAATTTAAAATTAACAACAAATTATTTTTTGAAAAGTTTTGTATCAAATTCTTCAATTTTTATACACGTTTTTATAACTCATATATTTCATACAGTTACATAAGTATGAATGT